CTATTTTTTTACGTTTGTATATTATAAGATTTAAATTGAAATCGGCTGTAATAAATTTTTTCTTCCAAGTATACATTTTTTTAGTGTACTATCAAAATTATTCAAGATTTTTTTTAAATTAATCACTAACTGTCATTATTATATAGTGAAAAATATACGTTACTAAGCGATTAATCAACTGTCGAATATATAACGTGTTTTAGTATCAAAAAGAAAACTACTCGATCGATTTTAACTATTTAAAAACGAAAAGGAAAATTATTTAATACCCTTTAAAAATGGATAAAATTAAATTTTTCAGTCACTAGAAAACAGCAAAAACTGTTTTTTAAACCTTAAACAATTAGAATCGATCGTCGAAATCCAGAGATATGACTGATTACATACACACAGTGGCTATTTAAAAGAATTACATACTATGCTAAAAAATACTGTATGTTGCAATTACACGCTTGTAAAAATTTTAAAAATAAATAAAAATTTACACTAGATTTTTACAAGAATAAAACTACCAAGATCGTCGAGATAAAAAAAAATATAACCATAAGACCATTATAAAAAAAAAAATATCATCAGTCTTTGTTATTGAACTATAATCTTCGTCAAGCGAGTTAATAAAAAAGTTTCACAACAAATTCAATTCTCATATATATCAGCCTTTTTGAGGTAATACTAGTAAGTGGTAACAAAGGAAGATAGGTTCTGCCTCTATCTTCGCGCCAAGGAAGTATCGCTCCCAGAGTCAACGCAGTGCATAGCACCGTGAGTCAGTATGTGACTCTTGTAGGACGATCTGAAGGGACAGTGGACGCACTGATACGTTGGCTTGCGCCCGCACAGCTTAGTATGCCGCTTAAGATTCTTGAGCTCGTAATAGCGCCTATGGCAGTTCTCGCAGGCGTAGCGGCCTAAACCGCGCGAACGACGCTGGCGCGGATACGGGAGCTGGTCTGCAAATAGAGAGCGCGAGTTTTACGCTTGTTAGTTTTTTTTCTCTTTTTTTAATTGCTATCAGAAAAGTATCATGTTTTTTTTTTGTTTTTTTGTTTTTTTTTTTATGAATATTTTATGAATTTATATGGTTGTATTTTGTTTTGAATTACACATGCCTTTTTTTCATCAATTCGGTCATACAATGAAAATCAATGGATTTCAATAATATATATCATCATGAGACTTGATAGTATATGAAACAAATAATAAAGTGGTCTTTAAATGCAAAGAGTCGTATAAAATAAAGTTTTTGTTTGTTTGTTTAAAATTATAATTTATTTATAAATTAGACTGCAGTTTATTTACAAAATAATCGTCTGTATTTACAGGATTCATCGCTTGGAGAAATTCTTAAAATTTCGTGAAACGTAGTATAATCAAAAAGAGATTCGTTTTACTTCAATCTGGATGTTGTATGAGAATGTGTTGATTGAGAGTAAACTGGCGCTTTGTTTTAAACGAGCAGAAGTGACAATGAAACCGTGGGTCTAAGCCACATTCTAGATTGACATGACGCCTGAAAGACGAACGATGTCTGTAACTTCTGCCGCAGCTGATGCAAGAATAATAAACACCACCTGAAATTTCAATAAGAAAAAAAAATTGTTTTCAACATTTTTCTCGACTGTTGCTCAAGTTTTTGACGGATTACGGGGAAAAAATAAATGTTAAAAATGATATGCGTGAAAATGATTATTTTGCTTGATAGGATTTGGTACAATGCAAGATAAATAACTCTAATAGTTTTGTGAGACAAATTAATTGACATATATTTTATGATGTACGCAGATTATACAATTGCATCAACTAACTTGCCTTCAAAGATTATGAGAGTCACTTTCCTGTATTATACCAAAAATTATATTTCACAACCATAGTAATTTGCATCCAGACAACTACAGAAAAGGATATAACGAGGTAGACTCGATAAGTCACAATGTTGTAAACTAACTCGTTTACACTTTAGCATTTGTGGATTTTAAAAAATTTCATTTTATTTGGAATCACCTCATAAATTTATAGTATCTTGATTATTCTAATGTGCAACGTAAAAAATATTTTTGACTTAGTTATTCAATAACTAAAGTCCATTAAAAAATAGTAAGATTTTTTGTGACGTGGTTAAATCTTAAAAGCAACGTAGGATAGAATTTTTTTCAAGACATCCCAAAAACTCAGCATTGATGATTTTGCAGTTGTTGGCAAAGTGAGTTCCTTTATGTAGAAAGTTGATGAGTTATGATGGGGTTTGACAGATCTGTAAAAAAATACATTTTCGTCAGCGAAAAAAAAAACGCTTTAATATTGTCTTATGCGCTGTAACTTACGTTTTATTTAGATGCTTTATTTCCTGGGGGCTTTTTTTTCATTTTATTTTATTTACATTAATTTATAATGAATTATTTTTAGTTCCATTGTAAGAGTCACATCTCCTTCTAAATAATTTTTAAAATATCTGAAACACATGAAAATCAACGTTAGTACATCAGAACTTATCACAAAACTGAAGTCCCGTACAAAAATTTGAGAGTTACAAGAAATACAATTTTCATTAAGATAAAATTGTCATTAGTTGTAGAATAAAACTCAATAACTTAATAAAAACGTATTGTGAATCACGAATGGAAGCATTTATCATAAATCATGTAATAACTTGGTGCCAAGACATAATTTAATAACATTAATTACAATGTATGTACACGAGGTAGACATTGCACATTTATGAATTCAAACTTTGTTCCCTCATTGACTTCAATATCCGATGAAGTCTAGATTTATTGATACCAATGGCTGCTGCAGCTTTACGAATGGACATTCCACCATTCATCAAATCAATGGCTTGATTTAGCATCCGAGCTGGGAGTGGTATTCGTTTTCTGCCTCGAGTGGCGGGAGTTACTTGTAAAACTGCAAGTAAGTGAACGGATACTGTAAAAGTGGTATTTATTTTAATGTAAATAAAAAATAATTATTATTTTTAATAACTCACAAAATTCTGGATTTTCGACCTGATACTGCATGCCATCGTATGCAAAATCTGAAACATAAACTATACCATGTTACGTTAGTTTAAAAATTTTACTTTTATGGTATGAGTTCATGAAAACTTTGATGCATGAAAAGTATTTTGATATTCATTTGCAATATACATAATTATATAATCAGTTATGGAGCATGAGCTATGATATTTTGTATTTACTGTGCATGAAAAAATTTATTTCCATAACCATTGATAAATTATTGAAATTTGAATTCGTTATACCCGTCATTCTTGCGTACTTGCCTAACTTACCATTCGTTTTGCAATAATGTTGCTTTAAGTGGTGAATTTCCTGCAATAAAAATTATATTTATTAATTTTATTAGCATTAATTGGTGAAATTTGCAGTTTTTTTTACTAAGTGTCAATAAAAAAACACGGTTACTGCTTGAACTGTAAAGAAAATCTTATTTCCTGGAATGATGATGAAAAAAAAAATAAACTTGCGAATTAAATAGTAAAATACTTGGAAACTATTTAATAATTAACATATATTTATTGAAAAAACTCGTAAAGGGAAACAGCGTTACATAGACACTTAGATGCGTAGTACTTGATTTTTTGCTCACACAATTTTTGTTTGTTTTTATGTTAAAATGGTTATGCATATGTGATTGGGACTCTTGTCGAGTCGACCATACTATTACTTGATTACGTCAAATATACGAGAATATATGAGAAATAGGTGTACATGTTGAGTTGCGCGTTATGCACGTGTAATGCAAGCAGCAACTTTCAGGGGATATGGAGACGTCTTTATACTATAAACTTGCGCGTACTTTTCAATCGAAGGTAGTCATAGATGTCAAAGTATTAACTTTGCGTCAGCTTTTGGCAAATATTTTTGTTATTTTTAATTTAGCGATCACTCGCGAAAAAAAAATACAGCACAAGTATAAAGACGTTTTAATTGTAGGATTACATCGGTACAATACTACGCTGTTTGATATGTGAGTGAGAATTTTAAAAATTTTTTTGCAAATTAAATCTGAAGCACGACAGCCGGTGCATTTGTTACATCCTGTAAATAAACATGTAGCGCTATTGTAGTAAAACAAACAAACACAAACCTTAACGTATACGGTGGGTCTAAACCAGTACGTGATAAATAAAGTATATAAGTCATTGTAAATAAAAAAAAAACACTCAGAACTCATTTCTTTCCTTTAAAAATTTTTCTCCTTTTTTTTTCTGTATTCGTTAAGTGTCGCTATGATTGATTTTACCATTAAATTTTGATTATTTGGCCATACAATATCGGTGGAAAATATTGTTAAAATTATTTTTTCTCTTCTGTGATATGCAAATACGTCGATCGATGTTTTTTTTATGCGTATGCCTAAATACTGATGCTCTACAAAATATTTTTCGAAATATATTATAGTGCGACTACAAAGACGTATTGTTGTACATTTTCATTCTTTTTAAAATTTTTTTAGATTGTTCGCTTCTTTCAATTAATTCTTATGTATTTATTATTATTATTATTTTTTTTTTTTTATTTGTCTAACGCTTTCATTTTACTACAATAATTTTTTTTCTCATTCACGGCATTCACTTTAACGGCTTTTTAAAAGTATTTTCATTTTATTTTTGAGGAACTTTTCATTGTCGCAAAAAGCGCGAGAGTAACTTTCTTACGTCGTGCTTTGTATGTTGATGAAGAAAATAAATGTAAAACACGCATGAAAAAATTAACGTAAAATCAATATCATTTTACGTGCAATTATAATAATGCATTTTCAATGATTTTTTCCATTAAATTTTTGTTATTTGCGATTTATTGCAGCCGCAAAGTGACGACCAAAAAATATATGTTTTTCATCGCGACCAATATGCGCTTCATTTTGTATTTTTCAACTTTTTATATTATTTATGATTGCGACTCTTTTTTATTTAGTGACTGTCTTAATGCACATCTGTACACTTGAAGAAATTGCTGTATTAGGTTAATCAAACTTTTTGAACAAATAATTTATAAAGTGAGAAACAGTACAAAAATTGTTGATTGATAATATTTTTTATATACCAATTAAAATTAATGTCATTTATATAAAATAACTAAAGTAATTTTAAACATCATTTTTAATACATGACTTTTAGAGGCGTTTGTTTCTCCAAGTGTACAGTCAATCTTAGTTTCAACTATATAAAAAGCCTACGGCCTTTCTTAATATTGCAGTGCATAACTATAATCATTTTAGCATATGCTAATACTTATTATTAAGCGGAAGTTTCTCGAATCATCATATTTTTATTATTTTTTTTTTTTTCGAGAGAAACATCGATAGCTATGTCTTTGAGTTACAATCGGCACACCTCTAAATAATCATCAGGCATACTACGCATGTGTATTACCATTACCTCATAGTCTAACAGTACTTGATACTATTTGATGGTTTACTAAATAAAAATTGCACATTTTGAAAAACACAAATACATTGCGGTTTGGACAGTTGTGTAAACAATGTATGGCACTTGCAAATAATTATGTTTCTATAGAAATGGCTAATCAATTTTTTTTAGCTGATATAAAATAATAAAATAGTTTACCATAGTAAGAAATAATATACGATAAAAGAGCACACTTAATTAACACATTGTAATGCAGAGTAAAAAGCTAAACAAAATAAAAATTTCAGGGTTACTGTAACTTTTGAAAAACAAATTAATGTAATTTCAGATTGTAAAAATAATATATTTAAAGATCTAATTATAAAGTTGAATAATTATGTCAATAAATTTTGTTTTAAATTATTGACATGATCATTTTTCCTTGTTAATTGACTAGCAAATCAGTCTTGTTACGAAGCAAATAAAACATTTAGCATAGACAAGTCAAAGCTTGTGTATTTTTGTTCTAAAAGATCACTTAAAAATCTTTGGTTATGATTTGAAACTAACTTCAATAAAAGTAATGTCTCGAGTCAATCTACGATTTTAATGAGAAAAATAAAAAAAATATGTTTTTAGTCATAATTTCCATGTGTGAAATAATCGAATCTCATCGCAGTCTCATTAAATTTTTGACACTATAAATAGACTTTTAAAGAGCTCGAAAATCCATTTATAAATCAAAATCAGAACTCATTTAAATCTCAATTTCTCCGCATAATTTACTTTTATTTATGTTTAATTTTAATATAAATAATTATTCCTCATTTTCCGTACATTCAATATTTTCGATCAAACTAAAAATTTCGCCACGGAGAGTAAACAAAAAAAAAAATTTAATTGTTCAATAATACCAAACAATTATTTATTAAAAATTGAAAATAAAAAATGTATCGTATCCCAATTCTTTTGAATTAAACCAAAAAACTCTCCACCGACAATATGATGGAGAAAAAAAAAAAAAAAAAAAAAAAAAAAAAAAAAAAAAAAAAAAAAAAA